CATTAACAAGTGCCATCGTCTATCTTCCTCAATTTCCCATTCAACCTTGGAAGTTCGCCCCTCATGGAAAAAAACTACTACACGCGAGAGCGTTCATCGATTCGAATAACTCGCGCGAGGCGTCTAAAGTGGCGCGCCCTTAAATGAAAATATTTTTAATTAACTCCCTTATTTACGGGCTAAGTAAAATCCCCACTTAGTCGGGTCGTTCGTGGCGCATTTAACAAGTGTATCATTAAGTCCCGCCGGATATGTCAGGGAGGGAAGAGCCCCGGAGGCTGTCGCCGCGCTCTTCTCGCGGCAGAAATTTCATTTTCACTTCGGAATAGTGCTTCCACGGGCTGGAAAAGTGCTCTCCAAGTACTGGAGCAGGCCTGGCAATGCTACCAGTTGCGTACAACCAAGGCGAAAAGACGAGAAGCTTCCCGAAGACCGACTTAATCCGGCCGCTGGAAAAGTTCCGTGGTATTGAAGCTTTTTCGTTCTCACTTCGTCGAATATTCCCATCGACTCCGTCCTCCCCAATCTACCGTCCTAACCCACACCCGAAAATATTCTTCCCTTTCACGGTTTGCTCCACTGGTGGATCGAACCTGTTCGAGGATCTGCTATTCTTTACACTTCGACTGGGGTTTTCATCTGTTCTAGAAGCAATAGAGAACAATGTTATAGAGTATATTGAATTATACAGTTCTTAGAAGGATTGGCAACTGAAATATAATTAGAACTCGGAAGTAATCAACGAGTTAAGATGTAATTTCGAAGTACGATTCCAAGGGACATAAAAGATTAGTTAGTTTCTTTTCAATTACGAAGATATCGAGTTCGTCACTAATTTCAAAAAGTCGAGACAAGTTGTTTCTGTAAGAATTTTGAACTTTATGTAAGAGATCACATTCGAGTTGTCTGTCAACTGAACTGTGCGGATTGCTTGAAATGACGTTGCAAGCAAAAATAATCGTCTTCTCGATTGACTACATTAATTTCAAATGAAACGTCCCCAATTCGCTATCACCTTTTTCCTATGGATCCGCCGTAGTTAACACATTGTGTACTGGCTAATTTTCAGAAAACTGAACTGTGCGAATGGCGATTTCCACTGAGATCAATTTATACCACTATACATACAGAAACTCAGATATCGTATCGCTATGTAATATATCTTAAATAGATAATCAATTCGAATCAAATTGAACACATCGCGTATGGGTTAATTCTTAGAAAAATGGCCGATTTTTCAATGTGATCAACTTATAAGTTCGTGATATATCACTATGCAAAATATTCAAATATCTTATTATTTTCTCATAAGTGTCAAACAAGTAATCACTTCTAATAACATTTAATACCCTTTTAAATGGTGTGGTAGTTAGAAATGATACGAAGGTTTAAATAAAAACGAGATTTCCCGTTTCCCGTACGCAACGTGTTAATATTCTCTGAAATACTGTGGTAATTAGCAAAGTTCCACAGCTAACTGTCTTCATATGAAAACCAGATTTCTCGTAACCAGTGTTAACATTTCATAAAACGTCCAAACGATAGTATCGAACATTCCCTAACCATCCAACCATCGCAAACACCGAAACGCTCGTTTTCGGCGTAGGTCGCTTCCCGACCGCAGCCTCCGTCTAAAACATTAATTTCATTCGCATTCTCCGTTACATCAGTCACGTACCTACGACCAGGCTACATCAACATCCATTCTTCCCTCGTCTTATTTACCCCCGGCAATATTGACTCTGCAACAAATTATATTCCTGCGTCGAATGCCGTGCCTCCGCTTCATATCTTCCATTCCAGTTTCCCGTTTATATACATTGTATCGCGTATATACACGTGTACATACATATACCCGACAAGAGAAAGAAAGATGGATAGATAGCGATGTAGTCGGGCCGAAAGTGGGAAAGATAAAGAGAGAGAGAGAGGAGAACGGCGGCGAAGTCTAAAGCGATATTTTTCTCGAGACCAGCCTCGAGCTGAAATCAAGGATATGCAGTATACGTATGGATAGACGACGGAAGATGGCTACAGACATATATCTCCGCGAAGGGAGTCAGTTATTGGTTGTAAAACGGCCGGGCCATCTGTCCTTGATATGAAACCTCGGTGCACCCCAAAAATCCACTCCTGACCTCCCCCATCGATGGGGGGTAATAAGTCACAGCGGTCGTTGCACCAGTGTACCAGCTGACAGAAAAATTCCGAATGAAGAGGATTTATGATGATCCTTCTGACCTCGTCGATTCTATGCACTTTGGAGGACGCGAGGGATTCTCTTGGGTAAATAAGGGAATTTATGGAATTTTGAGGTTGTTTTCTGAGAAAGTTTGAGAACGAGGGAGAGTGTTTTGTTGAATGTTGTAATAAAGGTGTGTTTTATGTTAAATCTCTAGAGATGTTAATAATGAAACTAACAGACGGTTAAAATGACCCATTTCTGGTTTTTCTCTTCTTGAAATTAACACGTTGAGCGCCATGGAGGTCACCGGTGATTCCCAACCAAACTGAATTACTAGTTCACTCGGTTGAACGATGATCATTTGAAAACGTTACTGTATTATAGTAATGCTTTAATTATTGATTATTAGAAAGGTAACAGATGTTTCTCAAAGGATCAATTCTAATTCTAATTAAAAGAAAGATTCTAATTAAAGAAACTAATTTAGCAATACGCGAACTAAATTGCAAACCAATTAAAGCTTGAACAGACGCACTCTTGGAGTTTCTATGCAGGATTTTCGAAAAGTCAATTTAACTGGTCGATAGTTTTACAGTTTCACTTAACGCTAAAGCTGCCGAGCAATTAGAGTGATTTATTTCCAAGCTTTTGTCAAAATTAGAACAATCCGTTTCTTGAGATTCGAATGGTCTCTTGTATCTGTGCAAATGCGCGAATTTAATTGAAAATCTTTCGCGAAAACGCCTTCGTGGCTTGAATACTTGCAAGATACTTCATCAAATTATGAAGTCGGTCAATTTGACTCGTCCGATGGTTTGTGTTAAAATTTCGTCGAAACGAATGCGAATGAAAATTCTTCCACGTCATCCTCACCCCGCGTCGGATGATTCCGCTCGTGACGACTCTAGCCGGGACATAAATCGCCGAGGACGGGGACGTTGATCAGTTCCCGTGATGGCGGGTCGGTGGCTGCGCGGAGAGCCTCCTAATTTTCTTAATTTTAAGTTACGAGGCAATCGAGTGGCTCGTGGCGCCGGCACGAATTTTTTAATCTCGCCTGCCCCGGGCGGGAACGGGGTCGCAGTTTTTATTAAAAATAAGCCGTGGCGCCGATACGGTCGTGCGAGCCCGGAGAGTCTTAAGTTCACCGTCGGCCCCGCCATGCGAGCCAGCTGCCACAAGAGAAACAGTGCCGTATATACCTCGGTTAAGAACCGGCGTTCGTCGGAAGCGGTCGGAATTTTCTGCTCACCGTTCGAATTCGTTCTCACGCGTCGAATTTCACCCCCGCCGATTCGAAATTCGATTTTCGGGGATCTCGGGTGAACTATCGTCGATCGGGGACTGGGGTTTATTATTTCCGAAATGGTTTCGCGAGGCTTGCGAGGTAGAAACGTAGAAAAGACGGCAATAGCGTAAAATAAATTAGATAGGAAAATTATTTTCGAAATGGTTCTGCGAGGTTTACGAAGTGGGAATCCTAGGGAAGAGGTTAGTTAGCGAAATGAAGTAAATTAGAAAGGAGAATGTTAGAACGAGGAACGAATGATTCTCTTCTCGATAATTCTTACGCGAGCTTCGAACACGCATTTTCTTAGTATTATTAAGTTTCTTTATCTTCTTTCTAGTTACTCAAGTTCTCAATTTCTCAAGGATATCTTAGGAAACTTGGAAAACATGAAAGATTGCCGTTATGGTACAAACTTCCTTCGTTTCAATGTTCCAATCACGAAGATAACGCAAGAAGCAGGGTAGGATTAGTAAAACAAGCGCGGAGAACTCAACTAATCTGACTCAACTAATTGATCTGAAGATACTAAGCATCGTTTCAACTATACACAATTGAAGCAAAGATTAATTCAATAATCGATTCTACTCATGGTGTCATGAACTATTTCCGAGTAGCTGTTTAACGCGTTTGCTAATTCTTCAACGAATATAGGCCAGGTACGAACGAGATTCTAAGCCATCAAGGCCAGGGTGTAACGAATTTCTATAATCGTCCCGGAATATCATCTCCCGGCGAAACTTTTCCAATATTAACCTCCACCGCTTAGCCGTCCGTCCGTGCCGTCTGGGCCGCAATTCAGCGGCAAAGGCGCGACAAAGATTTATTCTCGGCGAAGAAGTCCGTCCCGATATCTCATTATTCCGCGAAGCGGCGCGGCGGCGGTGTCGAAGACACGGAGTTGCTCCGTCTAACTTAACGCAATCGATCGTGAAATCCTCGAATATTAATGGAAATTAACTCGCGCGCCGATTAGTTTCTCTTTCTGCAGACGGCTTCCAGCCCCGATTACACGGCCGATTACTTCGCCCGCTAACTTGGAAAATTGATGAAAATTCCTTTACACGTCGACCCCGAACGACCCCGGACCGACGCGGATTATTCGGTAATTCGCGAGCAACTCGGTATTAACCCTTTGCGCTCGGAAGTATTTCGTCAGAAATACTTAACATTTTCTAACTAGACAGAAGATGACATTCTTTTAAATGAACTCGAAGAGGGATCACAAGTAAATTGAGAAACAAAGCTTTTTTATCCCAATATTGCACGCGCCGATGCATTATACACGGTTCAATGTTAAATGTCAAATTTTATAATTTTTCTGCATCAAATCAAGTGGTGACTGAGAGTCACCCCTCGACTGCAAAGGGTTAAGTCGTCTCGTTGTTTGGATGTGAACAAAACAATGGAATTTATCCACATTTTCAGGTATGTTCGATTGGCGGGATTTGTCGGTGGTTTGATAATGTCGTTTAATGCTCAGTTTCATTTAATATTCAAGAGTGAAGGAATGATGTTGGAACGTACCCGAGATTCCGTCGTAGGTCCACCAATTGTTCCAATCGGCCTCGGATCCTGTAAAATGGTAAGATATATTGTTAATACGTTACTTTCGAATCTCAATAATAATATTACACAATATAAGTTACTTTTCAAAAATTGAAAAGCATTCAATAATCATACAGTTTAAACTTTCAGAAAATCGACGCGATCGATTAATGTTTCGTCGTTCGTCGTTCAAACTTTATTTCAACTTTCCCAAGTGAATTACATGATCTTACAAAATATACTAATACAATAATCTCATATGCCATTTTGCCCGTGAAATCACGCGAACGAAACTTGAAATCCCTTCAACCATGGTACCCAACGAATGTCTCTAAAGCGTCACGGATCAACAAAAAGGTTCGACGATCGTCTCCATTAATCTCCTCAAAATCACAACTTCTCTTTTGCGCGAAACCCCGCGAACGCGACGATTGTTTTAATTAAACCGGGCGAACCCGGAGCCTTTAAGGGGACAGAGCGCAGCCTCGTTAAAGCAGGAAGGAGCGGCGTATCGCGGAGGAGGGCCGATAAATAAGCGCGGCGTTCCGAAGGATCGTAGAAATCGTAATAACGCTTTACGGCCGCGAATAAAATACGAAAGCCCGTAATCGTCGTCGGCACGGTATCTGAAAAATTCGCGAGAACCCCCGTCGCAGCGGCTGGCGTCGTTAAACCGGGGTTGGCCGACGTCTGGGAGCTGGAGAGCGTAACAACGCGAGTAAACTCATAGTCGTTCGAGGCCTTCGGGTGAGACCCTTGTCTGGTAGGAATATTTTTCTTAACATTTCGGCATCGTCGCATCTGGTTTCATTAAGAGATCAACTGACGCTAGACTGCATCCTCTGTTTTATTTTATTTTAACCGATTCAGCTTGCTGGACCTGTTGGCCTTGGTCAATTTATCAGTCTGTGTGAAAGTAAAGTGTTGCTATGACTTGTGTTTGAGTATATTATTTGTGCGAAAAGCAAGAATCTTTGAAAAATGCATCGTTAGGATACTACAATGCATTCAGTGAGATTCTATATGGCAGCCTTGTTCATGTTGCGAATCAGTGATTGTCGATTGGGTTTCCAATTATCCAGCTGTACAACTTCTTAGCTACTACATTCTGTAGTATCTTCCACAAGTGTCATTTCTTCGAACGGCACGCATCAATGACTACAATAGCAATATTAATATTAATATCACTATTAAGTTATCAACATATCAATATTCATGTGAACATTAATATTCTTAACACATTGCGTACCGGTAACGAGAAATCTCGTTTTTATATAAAAACACTTAGCTATGCAACTTCGCTACCACAGCATTGAAAAAAATATAAAATTTAATTCGAATTGATTATCTACTTAAAATATATTACATAACAATATGATATCTGAGTTGTTCTACGTATAGTAATATAAGTTGACCTCAGTGAAAATTAAAAATTGAAAACTTAGTTAATAGCATATATTCAGATCAAATTAATAAGTTGTCTCAATCCGAGAGCCAGTACAATAAATAAAGTAACAACAGCCAGAAAATGCACTCCAGTATCGCTGTGTTTTTGAACTAGCAAAGCGACATCCGGTGACTTTATAAAGATAGAACACTGAGAAAATATTCTTCTTGAACCGAACTCTCACGAGAAAGCCCCGAGCGACTATAACCTATGTACCAGGTGAAAGTGGCAAATCCGCTGTGCTGGTAAAGTCGTCGAAAAAAAGGTGTCAGCCGGTCCGGCGATGCTTCCACGTTTTACGCGTCGCGTCTTGCCGGGCAATTTTCAATTTCCCCGAGCGTAACGGGAAACACTTTTCCCCGGTCGTGAACTCTTGTCCGGTAAACCGACGCACCGTTATATTAGCAATTTACCAGTTCCTTGGCTCGCATATCTTCCCCCAACTTCCGGGGGCGAAACTTTAAAGCTCCATCACCGTTGCCCGAACGAGTCGCGGACATCGATCAATCGAACTTTACCCCCGGCCCGGCCGCGGTATCCAGTGATCGATCAGTCGATTATTAGAAAATGATTCCGCGGACGCGGAATTCGACGGGAATGCGAGACGGGAAACGAGTAACGACCGCGAAACAAGATGAATTTTGTCGTGCGGTATGTGGAAATGCACGTGTGCCGCGAGTTCAGAGAAGAAAATGAGAAAGTTCAGGTAGTCAGGGAGACTTGATTGGTTTCCGGGGGAATAAGAATGTGTTGGGCTTCGTGGGTGTTCGCGGGAAATTTTCGAATGGATTCCGTTGATTGGGCGTTGGAAATATTTATTTAGAAACGTCCCGGAGTATGTAGATCTTGAATTATTAGGAAATATAGATCGAATGGCACTCAATCAAGACTCGACAATATAAACGAATAATCTCTACATTGCTTCGATACATAGGTATTCAGTCTCTTCATTTAAACTGCATATATCAATTCTTCCATCTCTTACAAATTTACAGATAAACCATATACGATTTACCTCCGAATCCTTCGATCCTCAAATAACGGCAATTCAAACGAACTACCATTTTCACGAAACTACAAACTCTTCAATACGGAAACATAGAAAAATGATCGAAATACTCTAATACTCCGCAGATGAAATGCTCAACGATACTCAACCAACCACAAAACAACGAATAAAATACAAACGTCTCCGGAAACTCGTCAAACATTCTCAGTGTCCGTCGATTTCCAAGTATCAACGCTTCGAAAAAAGAATTCCTCCCCGAGGCGCTCCATCCGGCGCATTACGTCTCCTTCAATATTCATTACTTTTTCAATCGACTCACGCCTGCTGCTCTAGTCGTTTTTCTATATGCAAATTCCCGCCGCGGCCGGGCCTCGTCGCAGCGGTCGTTTTTTTTTCAATGCTCTAAG